ACTTCTCCATGTCTAGTATCACTTCTAAGCCACCTTGCTGGCAGCACTGAAACAATTCGCTAGCATGCAATCGAATCAGGCACACTTAGCCAAGCATGGCTTCCCTCAGCTCACCCTCATCATCGTGACGGCCGCAGGCGCTAGAACGCGCAGCGTATAGCCATTATTGTCAAATGTTGTCCAGGCCCCTCGCTTTGTGCACACACTAGGATGTGCAGTTGCAAGTCATTTCAGGGACCATTCATACTTCTGTGAGGGTGAGCTTTACAGCGTCGTGTGCATTTTTTCTAGCATATAAGGCACAAGTAATCTTGTAGGCCAGCAGGCAGGCAAGCGAAGTCTTGCAGCCTGAATCCTTCCAGTCCTCCCTCCTCCTCTTCAGCCCAGTTTATCCCCTTCTCTCCCACCAGACAGTGCATGGAATTGCCAGCCAGGGCTAGGTTGCACTACGCTGCCCTCTCCTGGCGGGTCGTGCCATGGCAATGCCATGCCTGAAAGCCCGAACCTGCACGTTGGCGTCCAGGGGATGTTCTTGTCTGTGAGGGGAAAGGTTGAGTGGGCATTCTTACTCTTTTCATCCCTTCTGGAGGGCAGGTCAGGTCTCGCTTTGCTAGGTGGGCAGCCCATTAGAATGTGGGAGGTGAGTTACCCCCCAGCGCATAGCAGTTGATCTCCTTCCCCCTCCCTTTCTCCAACCTTCCTCCTCGTCCTCCTCCTCCCTCCGGGGCAGGGTTCGGTAGCCGAATCGGAACCGGCAGCGCCCCAGGCAATGGTTTGGGGTCAGCTGCTGTCCGAGGAACGCGCCTGACTTTAGTTCACCCCGAAGCGAATGCCAAAACAAAAGATGTCTTCCTCCTCCTCCTCCTCCGCCTCCTCCTCACACCTCCCCCCTCCCTCCTCTTCCTCCCTCTTCCTTCCTCCACCGCCTCCTCTTCTCCCTCCTCCTCCTCCCTCCTCTGTCCCTCTTTCCTCCCTCTTGCCTCCCTCCCCTCTCCTCCTCCCTCTCCTCCTCCTCCTTCTCCTCCTCGTTTTCGTCCTCCGTCCTCTCCCTCCTCCTCCTCCCCCTCCTCCTCCTCCTCCTCCACCACCTCCTTTTCTCCTCCTCCTCCTGTCCTCCTCCCCTCTCCTTTCCTCTCTCTCTCCTCCTCTCCACCCCCTCCTCTTCTCCCACCCTCCTCCCTCTCCGGTCCCTCTTCCCTCCCTCCTCCTCCCTCCTCCTCCCTCCTCCTTTCCCTTTTCGTTCCCTTGTCTCCTCCCTCCTCCTGCCTCCCTCCCCCTCCTCCCTTCCCCTTCCGCCCTCCTTCGTCGCTCCCTTTCGATACTCCCTCGCCTTCTTCTCAAGACTCGGGCCCTCGGTTCGGCATCGCTTCTGGGGGGGTTTCCAAGAGTCCCTGTTGAACCTTGAGCATCAAATAACTATCAGTTTTGAAGAGCATAGATAATGTGGAGGAGGAGAAGGAGGAGGGGTGACTTTCAGGGACTCCAAGGATCGAGGGTCGAAGGATTGACTGCAGGGATTCTTTGAGAGGGTGTGGAGGGGCAGGTGGAGGAGGCGAGCATGGGAGCGACAATGCCTGGGGGCGTGCACGTTCAGGGCCACGCGCCGAGGCCGCAGGATGGTGACGTAACAGTTCGAACGAGGAGTAAGAACCACCTCGTCCTCGGAGGTACTGCTGCTACAATTGCTGCTTCCTCCCCCTCTTCCTCCTCCTCCTCCTCCTCCTCCTCCTCCTCCTCCTCCTCCTCTCCTTCTTCCTCTCCCTCATATTCCCTCCCCTCCTCGCCCCCCCCCTCCTCCGAAACGCGGGGCGTGCGCGAGGCGATCGCGGTGGCGATGTGCCGTCCGAGCTGTGGATGTCGAAGTTTGTTTCGGAAGAGGTGGTGGTGGTGCTTTCTTGGGCGGGAGATCTGGGCGAGGGAGCGTCGGGCCCCGCGTGCCAGAAACGTCCCCATGATGGGGCGTGGTATCCAGAAGGGTGCGCGCGCTGGTAAAGTGATTGTTGTTGTTTTGTCGTTGTTGCTGTTTGTGTCGTTGTTGTTGCCGCTGTTATCGTTGTCGTGTAAAACGGGGGCCAGGAGCGCAGTTTGGTGGCCGCAGATCATGCCGGATAAAACAGCAGGGCGCGAGCTACGGGAGAAGCGGTTGAATTGAAACGTGCAATGGTCACCGGGGGGATCATCAACCGTTATTCTTTCGACATGAAAATTGAGCAACGCCCCATCGCGATACTTCCTCACAATTTTGCCCGGGAGGCCCTGGCCAGAGGGCCCGAACCTCAGGAAGGACACTCTCGCCTGAGATTCCTTCGCAATTCAGAATCACCTGGGGGCGTTCTTCAGAGCAGTCCGCCACTCGCGGATGCAGAACAGGCTGTTTCGTTTGAGACCTCCTCGCCATTTATTTATCACCCGAGGTTTTTTTTCAGAACCGGGTTGCTGTTTCTCGCGGGTGCCAGAACAATTTTCTCGATTTGGATTTCGTTACAGTTCGGCACCACAAAGGGCGTCCTGCAGACGCGGATGTCGGAAGGGCCGTTTCGCATGATATGTCGTTTCAGTTCAGCAGCGCATAAGATTCCGTCAGAGCAGTCTTGCCGCTATACTTGCGGAGGCCCTATGACACTTCAGGGACATGTGTTCCGGGACATGTTTTCTGTGTCGTGATACGTGTGCCGGGTCAGCTTTTTTGGCCCCAGCGCTCCCAGGAAGCCCCAGGAGACACTTCTGTGCTGGGAAATTCGGGGGGCGCTTTTCGGCCGTCCCCCCTCCAGGAGGACTTAGGAGGCCCAAGGTGGCCCCAAGAGGCTGTTTTTCAGGATCGGGATCTGTGTTCGGGGACTGCCTTTCGGTCCCACGTAGGCTTCGTCCCCATCGGCGTCGCCCCGTCGCCCCCATAGACTTCGGCGCCCTGATCCTTGGGCTCGTACCCTTTTTGGGCTGTACGCATGCTCCTGCAGATGGGCCCCTCGCTTGGGGTTTGAATATTTAAGTGTGTTTACGTATGTTGCTATGCATTGCCCCCTTCCTGGGGCTCGAACCCCTTTTGTATCTCCTGTGTGTTCCTATGTTCTGCCCCTTCGACTGGGGCTCGAACCCTTAGTGTCTTACGCGTGTTCCTATGCATTGCCCCTGTCTTGGGGCTCGAACCTGCTGCGTTCCGAATCCTCACCGCTCCCCAAAGTTGCTCAGAATGTGTATGTGTCGTGCGAGTTGACGGTGGGAAGGTGCTTCGGGAGAGGTGTTGGCACGACCTTTTGGGCGGGGGGTCTGGGTGTGGGAGTACCGACCCCCTTTTCGTATAGCTTCCCCCAAGGAGGGTGGCATTATGATGGATGCTTGTGGCATGTAGGAGCATGGCGCATGAGGGTAAATGTTTGTTGCTGTCACTGTTGGATCTTAGCTGTTCTACACAGCTATTATTGCTGGGCTCGCTATATCCGCCCGGGAGCTCTCGCTACGGCGCCGGCTGCATTTCTTTTGAACTTGAAGCTTACGTTCAATCGTTTCGGAGTACCGCCCAGACTGGCCCCCAACAACAACAACGATCCCGTGCGATATTTCCTCACAGTTCACCCCGAGGTAGTCTTCGCACACCGAGGGTCGGTTCATGTGGCGTTGGCGCGCCGGCGACGCCGGCGAAGGCGTTCAGGGCTGAAGTCTGCGACGCGGAAGCACCGATGGACACGATGACGCCACTGGGCCCGACGGAATTCTACCTTGAACGATCGGGGCCGCGATCGATCCACGTCCTTACCCAGGAGGGGAAAAAACACACAGACACGATTAATCGTCGATCCCCCAGGAAATATGGAAAACTAGGGGGAGTGGGGGGGGAGATAAAAACCCAGAAACTATAGAAAATATGGGGAATCTTTGAATTTGGATGTATTTATTTCTGTGCGTCCCTGGGCCCCTTCACTTACGGCGGGCGCGGCAGGGTGGAGCGCGGCCAGTGGCCCGCAGACGTGCTCGCGTGGCGGAAAGAGGCACGCCGCCGGGTGGGGCCGTGGAGCCATGGGCAGCACACTTGGCATCGCTCGGGATCCTTCAGAGCGTGAATTACCTACCCCGCTTTCGCTTCCAGGCAAAACCAAGTCATGCCACGCGCCTCCTCGTCAAGCGGCCTGACCAGTACAGGCCGTAGTTTGGCATCGCTTGGTATCTCTTGGAAGCGAGGGTGGTCAAAAGCGAGGTAGGTTTGTGTTCCCCCTAATTCTACCTAGGACGCTCAAGGTTGAACGATCGACGCGGTGACGAAAGCCTTGGCGCGCGCCGACGCCGCACGGACCCGCAGTCGGACCGAGGTGCAAGATCGAGGTCCGTTCGGGGAGGGTGCCCTGGTGTGCTTCGTGCCTGTTGGGTGTTCTCGTGCATCCTAGGGGAGGGCGCCCTCGAATGTGCTCTTCAGTTTGGGCCGGCGGAGGGCCTCATGTTCTTGAGGGATATTCTTCTGCCTTGGGTCCGACCGCACCCGACCTCGGGATCGTCAAAAGACTGCTCAGGATGAAAATGCGTTCTTGGGGAAGGGGGTCCAGACCTCTCGGGGTCGACGTTGTGACAAAAATCTCGACGAAGGGGGTCTGGGTTCAACCCTGGCTGCAGCCAACACTGGTAAGGCTTCGGGTTGTGTAGCTGTATCGCACAGGGCCGGGGTGCGCCGCTTGCCTCGTGCTCCTGCACCGTGGCCGCACTCTGCTTGCCCTCCGCCACCCCCCTCCCTGCGCCCGCTCGTGTGCGATGCGCCCTGCAGCAGCGCCCCCGCGCATGAGGCCCTGATCTCGCCGTGCAGCCGCCAACGACGACGGACCGACGACGACGACGACGACGGCGACGACGACGACAACAAGTACGACGGCGACGACGGAGACAGGGCCGACGACGACTTCGTCGTCGTCTTCGTCGCCGTCGGCGTCGTCGTCGTCGTCGTCGCCGTCGTCGTCGTCGCCGTCGTCGTCGTCGTCGTCGTCGAGCAGTGGGCTCCGAGAGCGAGCGGGGAAGAGGCCGACGCCGTCATGGACACGTTCATGGCCATGGACATCTTCGGTGCCCCCCCCCGCCTCTTCTGCCTCCTCCTCCCTCCCTCCTCCTCCTCCTCCCTCCTCCTCCTCCTCCCTCCTCCTCCTCCTCCTCCTCGTCTCCTCCTCCTCCTCCTCGTCCTCCCTCCGCCTCCTCTTCCTCGCTCCTCCTCCTCCTCCTCCTCTCCTCCTCCTCCTCCTCCTCCTCCTCCTCCTCCCTCCTCCCCCTCCTCCTCCTCCTCCTCCTCCTCCTCCTCCTCCTCCTCCTCCTCCTCCCCCTTCTCCTCTGACTGTGCCCCCGCGCCCTCTCTGCTCTCGCGGCGCGCGAGGGTCGACGGCCGGCCTCGTGTCTGCAGGAGCGGGCCGGGGACCCTCGAGACGGGGGTCAGTGCAGACGGGGGTCAGTCAGAGCGCCGGGTGCAGCAGGATCCTGCAAGGCCAAGGGTGCCTTGGCCCGGGCTCGGGCGCAGGATCCTGCAGGATCTTGCGGGATCTTGCAACGCCTGGTTGGCCCGGGTCTGGATTGACCCGGGTCAGCAGGTCCCCGACGGGTGCCCAGGTGCTAGAGGTGGGTTGAGGGGAGGGGGTCGTAATTAGGCCCTGGAGACCAAAGGGCCGTTGTTTTTTTATTGGTCCCGTTTTGCCGTTTTGGTTGCCCGTTCCGACGCGGTTTTTGTTGCCGGTTCCGTTGTATTTAGTTGTTTTCCTTGCTCCTGCTCCAGCTCCAATCCCGGAGCCGTTTTTTTGCCGTATGTGGTCGCCGTTTTGTTGCCGTTCCCATTTTCAATATTTTTTTCGGAAGCGGTGAAACAAAACGTCCCTGCCGTTTCCGGGGCCCACGAAGGGGGAGGGGGTATCCACGGCCTCGCGGGCCGAGCCTCTGGGCCGCGACCCCGTGCGGATGTGGGGCGTGCTCTGGCGGATACCCCGCGTGGGACGGAGCTGATGGGCCTGGTTTCCACCACCATCACCATAAGTTGGAGGGGGGAAGGAGGTGGAGGACAAGAGGAGAGGAGGAGGAGGAGGAGGAGGAGGAGGAGGAGGAGGAGGAGGAGGAGGAGGAGGAGGAGGAGGAGGAGGAGGAGGAGGACCCCCTCCCCCTCCAGCTTATGGTGGTGGTGGTGGTGGTGGTGGTGGAGGAAGACAAGCCCATCAGTAGCCGTGCGGCCACGTAGCCAGGGGAGCGCGCCCTGGAAGCCGGGCTGCGAGGGCGTGGATGTGGATATGCTCGCCGCCCGTGAAGGGGGGGGCGGAGGCATGCTGGGCGCTCCGGGGGCTCGGCCTCCCTCGCCTCGCCTCTTCTCTGGGTCGTCGCGGGGCCGTCGCCGACCCCCTCATGCTGCCGCTGCCGCGCGCCGCCGCCGCCTGCATGCAGCGCTCCTCCGCGTGGCCGCCCCCTCCAGGGCCGCCCGCAGCCGGGAGCCGCGCGGCAGCCCGGAAGGGCGCGGGCGCCACGCCGAGGCGTGCCGCCCGCGGCTGCTTCCGTGTCGCCGCTGGCGGCGAGGCAGGCGTTGCCGGGCTGCGCACGCCCCGCCTGCTCCTCTGTCGGCCCCTCGCCCGCCGGCCTCGTTCGGTGCGAGCGAGCCCGCGCTCCGCGGCGCGGGCTGGTGCCCATCGTCGCTTGGCCAGGCGCAGCCCTCTCCTCCTGCTTCTCCTGCTCCCCCTCCCGGTCCTCGCTGCTTCGCCTCTCGCTCCCCCGGCCTCCTTCGCCCGTCCCCCTGCTGCTGCTGCTGCTGCTGCTGCTGCTGCTGCTGCTGCTGCTGCTGCTTGTTGCTTGTTGCTTGTTGCTTGTTGCTTGTTGCTTGTTGCTTGTTGCTTGTTGCTTGCCGGGGCCTCCTTTCCCTCCTCCTCTGCTGCCTCCCCTCCCGCTCGCTCTCCTGCTGCGCTTTGCTCCCCGCCGCCTGCTCCCCTCCCTCTCTCGTTCTCTCTCTCTCTCTCTCTGCTTTTTCCGCTGCTGTCCACGCGTTCGCGCTGTCCTTGTTTTTTCTCGCTCTCAACCACTCAGCTTGTCATTGTGCGAGGCCTGATTGTATACACGGTCAGTCGTGGACCGTCGAGGGTGCACAAACGCAGTGCACGCACAGACGCCTCTCCGGCAACAGTTTGTCCTACGGTCTCTTGTCGTGCTGCCGTCCCGCCTCCTCCTTCTCCTCCCCCTCCCTGGTTCGTCGTCCTTTTTCTTGTGCAGGCCGCTGGGTGCTCCACCCGTAAAGTCGTTGTCGTCCTCCTCCTCCTCCTTCTCTGAAGTCGGGCGTGTCCCTGCACAGGAGGAATATTCCAGAATAGTCGACGAATAGTTTGGGGACGATGTTTCGAACACTTGTCGCCTATGTGTGCATATGTTTGACTATTTCTGGTTTTCTTTCACAATCCGCCCGTACGAGGACATGCCCGACCTAATCCTACTTCTCCCTGACTGCTGTGGTGACATCTACCTGGCCAGCCTTTTTCGAGGTCTGCCGCCACAGGGTCACAGTACCGTACTAGCCCGTGTCCGCGCGGGTTCTGCTTGGTGTTTTTATAGCCCCCGTGAGGGGTAGCGGACTCAATACTGTGTCGCCATGGGAGCGGCATTGGTGGGTGATGGCAGCAGAAAAAAACAGTGCCCCGCCCGCCTTCGCACTCCTCTCCCTTCTTCTCCCTCTTCTACCTCCACCTCCTCCTCCGCATCCTTCCCCTTCTCCTCCTCCTCCTCCTCCTCCTCCTCCTCCTCCTCCTCATCCTCCCCCTCCTCCCCCTCCTCGTCGTCCTTTCCCTCCTCGTCGTCCTTTCCCTTCTCCCTATCCCTCCCCTGCTCCTCCTCTTCTGCCCTCCTCCGCCGCCCCCTCCTCCCTTGCCACGGCGCCCAAGTCGTCGGAGAGCGGACGCGGCCAGGTGCCCTGGTGGAGGACGCTGTCAATGCGAGCACGCGCGTGTCGACCATCCAGCAGTTGCTCAAGCAGGAGACCAGGCCAACTCCGGTGCGAGCCCGTCGATCGGGTGTCCATTCCTCGGGAAGGCTCGGTGTGTACACCACGGCTTGGCCGGACAAGGAGCCAATGAGGTCGGCGAAGAAGTTCGGTGCATCGAGGCTCCAGCATCCCCCAGGTTGGGAAGCTGGGGCGTCTGTGTTACACCGAGCTCCTTGGCCGACCAGGCGGCTTGGTGTATTTTGCGAGCCCTTCCCAGGTTACGAAGGGAAATGCAGGGGGGCCCAAGGAACAAGACCTTTCCATCGCCTTTTTCGGTCCGCGGTGGCAGTTCAGGGGCCGTTCAGGGCCTCTTTAGGGCCGCTTTTCTGCAATCATCTGGCCCCCCCCGTTGATTGTCCCCCCCCCTGCCGGGCGCCCAACTCGAGCGCCTGAAGCAACGAAGTCTTGATGGACACGGGCCTCGGAGGTTTCTCCACAGACCTCCGACGTCGCGTTTTTTTGTTGTCTCTTTATATGTTTTTATTTGTTTATGTATGTATGTATTTATGTATTTGTTTACTTATTTGTGTATTAATTTATGTATGTATGTATGTATGTATGTATGTATGTATGTATGTATGTATGTATGTATGTACGTATGTATGTATTTATGTGTTTGTTTATTTGTTTGTTTATTCATGCATTTATGTATTTATGTTTTTTTGTTGTTGTTTTTTTTTTTTTTTTTTTTTTTTTTTTTTTTTTTTTTTTTTTTTTTACAAATAGTTATCTATATAATTTTAGGTGTTGCTTTACAAACCACCTACAACAGCAAAAACGTGGACACCCCTCACAAAAAAAACGTGCCCCCCAGAGGTCTGGACCCCTTCCCCAGGACTGGCTTTTCATCCTGAGTCATTTGTTTGACGTCCCCGAGAGGCCGAGAACAGCGAAAAGCCTCTCGCCGTGATTTTTTTTGCTCAGCGCGATGGGGTCCGTGTCTGGGGGCCTTTCCCGGGCCCCAGGAGCGGCCACAAAAAAGGCGGCTCTGGGACGTGAAGAGCTGGGCCCGTGGGAAATGCCTCCTGCGGAGCAGAGGGGGCCCGCATCTCATGGCGCCAACATCGCAGCGCGGATCTCGTTCGGAAGACAGTAGGATGGGCCCAGAGTGTCCTGGAGAATCTCGTTCCGGATTTCGAGATGCGTTTCGTGCGGATTCTTTGGGGGCCGGAAGGGGAACTAAAAACAAACCCAGGTGAAATTCACTCCGTTTTTCGCTCGCCGTTTCGGGGTCCTGCATCGACATACATCCACGCAGGAATCCGCTATGGCACGTCTGCACGGTCGGTGCAGTGACGCTTCCGTCGGGGGCCCCCCTGTGGTAGTGCGGTGGCCGCAGCGTGTGGTGAGGCAGTGGCGGTTCGGGGCGGTCGGACGGGCTTCTGGGCTCGGGTCGTTCTCAGGGGTGCCGTCGGCCCAGAGCCCCCGCGCGTTGTGCAAAAGTTCGCGGCGGGAGGTTTTTCACAATTTTTAGCCTCCGGGGGCCCTTGCTTGCCAGGCCCCGGGGCCGTCAACAAACAACGACTCCGGGTGGAAAGCCGGTCCCAGGGGAAGTGGTCCAGACCTCTGGGGGTCGACGTTGCGAACAAAAGTCACGACGTCGGGGATCTGGGTCCTCAGGGGTGCCGTCGAGGCTGGTCAGTAGGTCGACCCTGCCAAATCAAGGATGCCCTCGTGTCCCGTGTTTCGCGACCCACGCCTGCTGCGTGCCTGCCCACGCCTTCTGCGTGCCTGTGGCAATGTGGCCCTCGGAAGGGGTCCTGCGTCCTCTCTCGCAGGTCCACCTCTCCCAGGGCTGGACCTAAACGCTGACTTGCGGGACTTCGGTCGTGCTTTGCTTCTCGCTTCGGCCGGGAGGTCCAGGAGAAGAGGTAGAGCAAAATGAAAAACAAAACGAAAACACAATGAAAAACAGCGTTCAGGTGATCGTTTTTTCATTCATTGTTTTGCGGATCGGCGCGGGCCCTCGCCCCCCCCCCTCCCTGGAGTGGATCTTGTCTGTTTTTGGCTCTTGTTTCGAGCAGGTGGAGTCCCTCCCCCACAGGACGCACTGTCGCAAACAGTCGCACTGAGCAGAGGCCCCCTTGTCCGCCCACTATCGAAACGCCGAACAGAAAAACGCTCACTAGGCCCAGCCCCAGACATGCGACTTCCCAATTTTTTTCAGGACGGCGCCCCCGGAATTTCCAGCCCTCTACCCGGGGCCAGCTTTTCATCCTGCGCCGTTTCCTGATGGTCCTGGGGCCCGGCGAGGGCCCCCCGTGGCCGAAAACATAGCGAAAAAGCCTTCGTCCCGATTCCTTCACGACGCGACCACGTCTGGGGCCCTGTCCTCTCCAGTCCCTTTGTGGGCCCCCGGAAGGGCAGGGCCGTTTTTTCACCGTTTCCCAAAAATGTCCCTTGAACATGTAAACGGAAAAAAAAGGCGACCGGAAGCGGCAAAAAAACGGCTCCAGGATTGGAGCCGGAGCCGGAACCCCTCAAAAAACGTCGACGGAACCGGTAAAAAAACGGCGTCGGAACCGGCAACAAAAACGGCAAAACGGAACCGGTAAAAAAAGGGCCCTGTCGTTTCCAGGGCCCACTGAGTCCAGTCCCTGAAACGACGCGAAGATCGGGACAAAATCGGATCGGGATAACTCGAAATCTCTGAGAATCGGCGGGTTGGGGGGATGTGTTGGGCGCCGCGGCCGCTCCAGAGCGTTCCAGAACGCTCTGAGAGCGCTCCGGAACGCTCTGGAGCGATTTATCCCGATCCCAGCCCTGTTTTAGTCCCCCCCCGACCGCACCTCGGGCGACGGGGCCCTCCCGGGACCCCTGCAAAAAGCGCGCGCGCCCGTGCGGCGACGGGGAGCACCGGGCGGGCGGGCGGGCGGGGGCGGCGGGGGCAGGCCGCCGGCGGGCGCTCGGCGAGCACCGGCCGCTCTCCGGCCGGCGCCCCGGGGGCCCAATGGGGAGCCCCGGGGCCCAGCAGCAGTGTGAAGGCGGGCGTGTGTCCCTCTACAGGGGGAGTAGTCAAAGATAGTCAAAGAATAGTCCAGGGACGACTTTTTGATTACGCTTGGATTTTTGTTTGGAATCGTTTTTTCTTTGCGATTTTCTCCATCCGAAATTCCCCTGTAGGGGGACACGCCCGGCCTAACATTATTGCGAAGGCCTTACGGCCAGTGCCACCTGAAGGACGACGACGACGACGACGTCGACGACGAGCGCTCGCGGGTGCGCTTCGGGGGGCCCATGAGCCCTGGGGCCCAGCATTATTCGCGCGGCAGGCTCACGACGTCGTGCCGGTGCGGTGCGACCCCCGAGCGGACGTTCGAGGTGGAGCGCTGCCAGTGGTCTGGGATCGGCCAAGGCGGAACGATCCGCGGTGCCGCGTGGCCAATTTGCTCGCGCTTCCCGCTTCGCGCTTCGCGGTTCGGTTCCGATTGCTCCTCGTCCTCCTCTTCTCCATGGGGGGCGGCGCGAGAGCGCGAAGTTCTTCGCGCTTCGCGCAGCGCGAAGCGCGAAGTTCGGCGCCCTTGTTTACTCGAAGATGCCACTGTAGTCACGAGCCGGCAACTCACACCCATACCTATGCGACCCCCAGATTGTCTTCGGGTGGAGTTCCGTAGGGGGAGCTGTGTGTGTGTATTGTCGGATGGGGGGCCCTACTCGAACGGGAACCCCCTTTCGGGTTCCGACAGCGCGCGCCCACACCGATAGCGCCTTCCTCTCCTTGCCCTTTCTCATTCCGCCTCCCTCGAGGTTTGAGTATGTGTTGTTCTCTCACCATGAAGGGTCATGTTCTCATTCGGGGTAGCCATGGGCACCCGCTTGATAATGGGATAATGTATCCTCGACGTGCACTGTCGGAGGCCCGTGGGGATTTCTTGCGCTTGGCGCGCTTCGCGCGCCTGGCGTATGCGTGCGTTCTGCGTGTATCCCATTGCGTCGCTTCCGCGGTTTGGGGTCCGCCGTGCGGGAGGAGCAAATGTGTTGTGTGTGTGTGTGTCCACGTCTGAGCGCTTTCCTCTCCCTCCCTCCCCCCGCGCGGCCGCTCTCGTCTTCTACCTCCCTCTTGCACGCCAGACAACGAGCCTTTTGGTTGCCCCGAATATCCACAAGCTGGAATGGACTGCCTCTGCCTCGCCGCCGACGATATACATATATATATATTCATATATATATATATATATATGTGAGTGTGTGTGTGTGTGCGTGTCAATGTCCGGTACTGGCCGAATTCCACGTCGGCCTCCTAGAGTCTATGCTTCTATTGTTGTCTGCATGAGGAGAGTGTCGTTCTGTCGATGTACCCGGCCTTCAACGCCACGAAGATCTGGCTTCGCGAGGTGCGGGAGGACTCATTGATCGATTCCGTACTCCCCAGCCGTCAGCCGCACTGCAGACAGCACCAGCATCGATGGGCGCAATGTATGTCGAAGTCATGCTGCAGTGCTTGTCTCCGTGCTGCATCCACCTCAGTCTTCGGCTGCAAGTCTTCCGAGCTGGATCACTCTGCCCCTTTTTCCTCTCTCTCTCTCTTTCCGTCTCTCTCGCTCTTTCTTTTCGGCGCAATCGGTGGCCCTCTTCCTTCCTCCACTGCGCTCTCCGCTTCCTCCCCTCCTTCTCTGTTGGCACTTCTGGCACTTTTCTTGGTGCTGCCACCAGATTCAAAAACGAGCCGAACATCCAATCAATTCACGTCTGGCGCGTGACCGCGGGGCGGATGTCGGTAGGATTGCTGCTAATGGGGATCCCGGCGCACAAGAAGTAGTCGACAGCCCGTTCCAAATCGGACCAAGCGCCTAATGGCGTGTCTGACGCCCCGAGGAGGTCGTCCACGAATTGGAACAGATCCACGTTCTTGTTGTTCCGAAGTAAGCGCAATACTTTCTTGATTGATTTATCGCTCAGGCATGGCTCTGGAGCCAAACCGCAATGCAGAAAGTTGCAGCGCTCGTGCTGCCGACGCGCCTGACAAGAAAGGCCCCGGAAATTCGCATCATGTGAGTGCAGGTTCGGTTCCAATCGAGAAACAATCCTGCAGATCGTCTGCGTACATGGAGGATCCGCGGGACATGCGAGTAATTGCCACATCGACCGTGCCATAAGAGACCTCCACTGATGGGACATTGGCATTGACGTCACCCCGCCGCAAATCCGGAATGAGCCGCGCCTTCCATCGCTCCTCCCCTGGTGCGGCGGCGGGGGCGCCCTCCTTCCGTGCTTGGAGGATCAGCGCGCACGGATTCACGTTGAGCTGGCTTAGCTTGGGCAAGTCAGGAAGATAAAAGGAAACTTTGCCCAATCCTTCCAAACGGTTCCACTCACGTCCCGCCCAACTGGCGTTCTGCACTGAGGTCGGGTGGTTGGGCACGCCGCCGACGCGACATAGCCTGATGCCCCCAGCCGGAAGCCGGCCCGCCATGACCGGAGGTGGGCCGGGGCAGCCCCCAAGCCTTGCAAAGCCTCCAGGTGGAGCACGGAGCGGAGCAGAGCACGCTTCGCCTGTGCAGTCACGGAAGCAAGCTCAGGACTGCCCTCTTTGACCGCTTCATGTGCCGGGTCGGCCACGAGGTTGTGCCCAGAAGAATCCAGGGCCAGGCGACGACCCATGCGGTGGAAGGCCTGGGGGGGGGGCGGGCGAGGGCCCCCCCTTGGCCCGCCCCGAGGGCCCCTGGTTGAATCCAGCGGGGCGTGGATAGATCCAGTGCGCCCGCCTCTGGCAGGCCAAAGTGAGGTAACCCATTTTGGGGGGTTACCCGTACGGTTCCTGTGCCTGGACTGAGAACAAAATGCCATTGGCCCCCTTTCTTGACTGGTGAGACCGCAGCACTTGGGCGGCACAGGATGGATAGCGTGCACCCGTGCGCAGGCACGCTGGCACGGCGCACCCCTACCGAGCCATTCTGGGGGTGGACAGGGCTCCTCACTCCTGGGGGACGGTGACGGGAGCTGCGGCCAGGGCGAAAGCTTGCCGAATTGAAATCGTTGGCTGGGGCTTGTCCGGCCGTCGCTCGCCCTGGCTACGAGGAGCGCGGGCAGAGACAAGACGAGGCGAGCGGGCCGATTTAACTGACGGAACGGCAGCGGGCTCCGCCGAACGTTATCGCCCGCCGGCGCGGCGCGCGAGGATCCTCCCTTCTCCTCTTGATGGGGGTGGGTTGGGTGGGTTGGGCGGGGGGGGGG